GTACCATGATGTATCAACCTCTCTACTAGACATGACATATTGTTACCGACGTAAGAATGGGTTATTACTAGACTGTATGTACCATGATGTATCAATCTCTCTACTAGACATGACATATTGTTACCGACGTAAAAGTTATTACTAGTGTCATGATTAGATGTATCAAGTGTCACGTTATATGCTTCCAATATTCACTTTAATATCTTCAACCTTGTAGAATCTTCTATGTACATACCCTAAAGACGATAAGCTAGTCTAATATGACTCGTCTAACATTACTACTGAACCATTAATAACACGAGGCGTGGTCGTAAGAAGGTGTTACCCTCGCATTATAGCTGTATCATTCATTCAAGTGACAGCACGCCAAGAAAGGTGGCAGCAGTATTCCCAGGCTGTAGGCTCTGTCATCTGATCATCATCTACTTTATTTCTTTAGCGTCATTTTAATCACCGAAAATACACAGGTTAATCCAACTGTAAACAAAAAGTAAGAAAAATATTACTTTCTACAAATAAAGCATATTTTCTTGGTGTACTGATTAATAACACAAGTCCTTAATGATCAGATAATTGTCGGCATTCGCTTCAGTCGGTCTTTTAAAGGAGGATTAGGTTTGGATCTCTTGGGGTTGAAATATGGAACCTGAAAACTATCCGTGATTGATGTAACCTGCTATTATGCATCAGTTATACATCTGTTATGCAGGTCCTGGTAGGAGTAGAGACACGTTTGCGTGGTGTCTGTAACCTACTTCATTAAGCAAGACATCTAGAGTATTATCTATTTATAGTTCATGTTTGTCTCCTTGAGTGGTCTTTAATGGTCGTTCTTTGCGTGTTTTCACGAAAGGTGAAGTATCAAGTGTTAACCAGTAGCATGGACTGATGTATAATACTATACCACTCACTACTATGATCGGCTAAGTGCATTAAATCATGACCGAGGGAAAATGAACTGTATTCCTGATTCATTGAGTCACTCTTCTCAGCAGGGAGTGTCAACACTGAGATGATTTGAATATGTTGCATTATGAAGCGAGTAGCCCCTGACTCTAATGATATACAATAGCTTATCTATTACTGCTTTAATAATGACACATATAAAAATAGAAATATTCTTATCTTTCTCATCGATGGACTAAAATTAAGCCGACTAATTATGGTATTTAGAGAGTTAATGTCAAAAGGATGTTGGTGAGATCAAGGGCGGAACTAAGCTAGCCATGCAAGCCAGCTTCCCAGGATGTATTTTGTGACCAGCCTTGTAGACAGTAATGGGGTAGGTCTTTACTGACGTCATAACCCACCCAACCACGTATTACAATACAGTAGTCTGGCTTGTAGTCTCTAGTTGTATGAAGACCATGAACTCTACCTGTACAGCTGGTCTAAGGAGAACGAAATCAGAACAGTTGTACCCTTTCAGTCATTCCTTGGCCCTACGAGATGTCACCATGATGGGGCTGGTCCGTTACACTAGTATACTCACCAATGGTATTTATTATATCACAGTTATTTAAAAATGATTATATAGAACCTAACAGCTCAGTTGGATACAAATTACGATAGCGATACGGCATTAGGCATAAGAACTAGTCGTATATCAGACCCTATGTTCGATCCCAATATGGAAATATTGATCTACTTAAGGAAAGATTATTAATAAGTCAGTCACAAGCTAGTAAACAATCCAAGATAGTAGCCATATATAACCAACTTGTCCTGTTCCAATGTGAGAATCCATTACCACAACAAACCTAACGTTAGTCAGTTGTTATATCATTTATCATTATTAATGAATCATCTTTTGTCACTTTTTTGGATAGTTTCAACAATTTGAAAAAGAGTTTTACCTAGTGTATTAAAACAATATTGATGTTATTGTTATTATCACTATTGTAATACGAAATTTTGAATGATGAATCATCGTCGTTTTTATTTTTCTCAGCATCAGAAGGGACACATTTTATCTATGATGAACAATAAATAATAATATTTCCATCAACACTCGATACGAATACTCTAGATAAATGAGAGAAAGAATATCTTCTGGTATAGTATATTCATAATGTTCATATATCACTCAACTATATGATTCCAATATCATGCCGCGGAAATAATATTAGTACGAGGTTAGGAAGAAATGTTAACAATGCCGTCAGATAGTTCATACGTAACTGGTCTGGTGAAAGTTAGCAGTATACATTTCAGTATTAAGCACACAAAAAACCTTAAAAATTGAATTAGAAAATGAGGGAAAGAAAGAGAAAACCACAAGGATGAATGTACATAGTTAGTTTTTAGCCGTTTGAATAAATTTTGTTTAATGAAGTTAGTTACCATAGCCAAAGGTGAGGGAATGCATTGAAGCAGATTGTATCAGTAGTGCCGTATGTTACTTGGGCAGCACTTCCTTTACCAGTGAAGATGAATATCACATCATTGAAACAACAGATATATTATAGCAATACTGATTAGTATAACTCGGTATCTTGCACTACTTTTTCCCTTCGATGGATTTTGTTAGACAATAGCATTTGACTTGAGATATTGGGTACAGTTGGAATAATCGACTTGAGCATTGTATATTGTACCTCAATGCATGTGTGATGCGTAGTGATCCATTAGTGCAGTCATTAAGTGTTATAGTCTGGTTGTCATGATATGGCGCGGCATGCAAATCAACAATCTTCATGGCATCATGTTATATCTCCATGAAACGACCACTAATAGAAGTGACAGCGGCATACATCACAATATGTCCACACACAGTGGTTCAGAGCCTCGAGAAAGGTCAAACATTACAGGTTTATTTATAGAATCGTTTTAGACGTCAGTGAGTATGACAGGATACAAGTGAACACCATGATTGACTCTCCTATCAAGTACCGGTATACGTTTCTCTGTCTTGGAGAGATGATTGACAGCTTGTCACTTCAGGTTAAAGTGTCCGCGGATACCATTGCACAGTTCGGTTCCAGTCTTCTTTAAGTTAACCCTGAGCCTAGCTTGGCTCCGTAGGATATTTTCTTCTAGGCAAAAAAACAACTTGAACATTGTGCTACAATACGGTCATCACCGGAACGATCCCGAAGCCGGCGCTCTCTTTCGTGAACATCTTTTCGATGGGAAATGGTAGTTCTATCTGACCAAACAGACAGACCCAAGCAGAGACGACGCAAAATGCTTCAACGATTCTTAGAGCGTAAGAACAAGTCGAAGGCGTCCGTCAGAGGTAAAAGTGTCAGTCATCGCCATTCGATATACTGTCGAACGGTCGGGATGTAAAATAGAGCCTATATTTTCTTGCTCGTCTGCCGCGCAAATGTCTAAGGTTATTGTTGTTATTACAGGGAAAACATTGTTAGAGTACCTTATTATTCTATTCTAAATATCGTGCTATTTGTCAATATATGTATACCCTTCACACTCTGTTATCGTCCTTACACAAGCCGCTAGACGAGGCTGTTGTATTTTCAAGGTGTTTGCTAATTCAGTTTTGTACAGTCTAATGGCCAGAGCGATTATTGTGTATAACCGTCTTTTCTGCTAAACTACGGCAAAGCTTACAGATCAAACTTGTTGTTCACTGAACTGAGAACATTAGAAAATTGTTGGCATTTTGAGTTAATTTGTATGAAAATAATCGGTATTGACAAAATGTCTAAATACTGCTCCAAGATGGACTAATTATAACACTTAGTTAACGACTTATTGCTTGATTCTTTATCGTTTCACAACCGAATAACAGTTCATGAGCGCTGGTTTGTTCACTTAATGGGCGGAACTGCTTTAACCACACAATCTCTTATTTTTTACCGACAAAATCTTAATGGTCAGTGGTAAGCAAATAAAACAGAGATTAAGTGGTGGTTTTTGAGCGTTTAAGCAAATACACAACAGACTTACTACGTAGCGTGCTGTATTTTTCTGAGTACTAGCAGTATTTTCCTTCAACCACTGGCCTATTACTAATGATCTACTGTTAAAATACGTTATTAAATGACCTTAGCGAATGTTAGCCATAATAATCACGATACTGTGTTCAATATTACAACAGCTCGACATTATACAGTAGAAAGGCCGGGCTGTAACGGTATTTACTTGTTTATGAAGCTGTCGAGCAAAATGACATGACGAAGCATTAGACCGACAGGAATGACTAGAATGACATGTAATAGTATACCATCATGTACGCCATCTTCTTCCATCACAGTAGTGAAGCGAATAAGTGGCTTTTGACACTTGTGTGTTTTGATAGATGATAATTAATTGACTTAGCGCATCGTCATTTTATGTATGTGTTACAGCCGTGATGGTAATAGTTTTTCTGCCATCCTTATATTCATAATGTGTTAAGTTACTGATCTGACTCCAATAGATTCAATATTTCCCTTCTGAGCGAAGGTTTGATTCACTGTGCTGAAGAAGATGATGCTACGCAGCTAAACTTTCTGGGCCGTTAAACACGCTGTTTCTCTACCACTACTGTTCATTTTACTGTATTTAACGAATATTTCACATTTCGTGTTTGGTAGAAAATTAAACGCAAAAATTGAACGACTTCTACTTTTAGTAAAACACCATAGAAATAATGAACTTCTTATTTAACAAATATAATATCCAATATTAGACTCTACACAATATTCTGTATGGATAATAAAAATCTATAGGTATCTGTGAACTCCTGTGGTTTGATCACGAAGGTGTTGATCTTGGTTAGTTTAGGGTTTATCAGTATTTTGTATTTATAGAGATGATTTATTCATTAGATTAGGAATCTTTTGTTGGCTCCTACTGTGAAGTGAACACATCGCTCTCCTTTTAGCACGACATCATTCAGTCCACTTCTTAAGTGCTTTAGTTAGACTTATTTCCCAATAACGGTTAAAATACAATGGATGTGTGCTCACAGCAGAGCTAAGGAAAAAGGTTAGCTCACGAATAAAACCGCTATAGTCGAGTCAAAAAGAGTCAGTTGTTATAAATACACTTCAAAGAGTCAATACCGTAGTGGTTAGCTTCTAATCTTCACTAAAATGAAAATGTTCAATTAGGCTGAGCGCTGTTAGTTTGAAAGAGAAACAAGAAGTGATTGCGTGTTCCTGCTGATATCGAAACTGACTGAACTCGGTTCTTTAACATCGTATTATTATTGTTCTCATCTTAGTACCCCGTAGAGTAAATGTGGGGTATTCAGTAATAATAACAATAATAATAATAATAATAAACTTTATTACCGTGTCAAAATATTTAGCTATCAAGCTAATTGAGGACACAACATAAATTAATAATTAAATATAAAAATCTATAGCTAGAAAAAAAAGAAAAAAGAAAAATAATATAAGAAAGATAAATATCTAAATAAATAATACTTAATAGTCCTAGCAATAAATATATCCTCTAAATATGTAGGTAATAAACCTTTATGATATTTGAACATTATTATTGCTATGTCTTGTAATCGTCTATTATAAAGTGTTGTAAGATTGGATTTATTTATTTATTTTATTTAGTTCCGTGTACAAACGTATTTCAAGCTCAACTACAAAACTAGGGTGCTGTGTTAGAACTAACGTACTAAAAGTTATAGCAAGATTAGGAACATTAGGGAATTTCGATCAGATTTATTACCTCATTACTTCATTATCTTACATTATTTATTAGACATTATTCCAATATCAAATTGATAAGCTAGACCACCTATCACGCTATTGGTTTAATCCCTAGGAGCTTTTAGCATCCATTAACACACATACATACATTAAATTACATTTATGACTTTTGAGGTTTTATCAGAAGCAAGGGTCTTTCCATGGAAGTTAAAAAAATGAACGATTTTTGGCCTGATAATTCATCACGGGTCAGAATAACCCTAAATAAACAAGCATATATTCGTTTCAAGATTCCTTCTGTTTTTTTTTATTATTTAATAACAGTAATCAGTGTTTGTTTACGTACAGTCTTAGTGATAGATTAAAGTAGCACTAGCATAAACAATAAACAACAAGAAAAACGTAGACGTTCATCCAGTTAGTATGATATTGAAGGACGAAACAATAAAGGGTATAGCCCAGTAATTTTTAGGATGCGTTGAGCATAGCATAGAAATGCATGTTGATAAGATTGCATATTATGTCCTTGCATCAACCATTACTGGTTCAAATCATATGCTGACTAGTACATCTGACAGAATTGATTATGTCTGCCACCCTTTGTGATAAGACATTGCACTTTTATCAATTGTAGACTCTCCAATAATAAGCACTTGACAAGAAGCCACACTCAATATACATCAGCAGTGATAAAAGGGTAAATCATACACCACAAAAAGATGAAAAAACTGACATTTTGGAGTAAAAGATATACATCAAATATAGACCAACGTTTTACAATCTAGAGATTTGAGTAGACATTTGACCAAGAGATGTATTTAAATTAGTGCAATAAAAATGATTATTGAGACTTATCTCTTATGATGTTCTATTAATATGGTTTAATATTTTTGACAGAGCTAGAGGCACTGGAAGCATGCTATTGGTTGAAGGCAGCAGGATTTCCTCAATATGCTCAATCATATGAAGGTAACTATTCAATATTCAGTTACCATGCAATGATCAACCTTATCATGACCGGTTTTGTTTTGTTTCAGAGGGGAGATTTCCTATAGATATAGCAGTAGTCATCAAAGAACATGACTTCCTTGATGAAGACTCTTTACAGTCTCTCTACAGGTATTTCCCTTTGAACACTTTTTCTGCACTGAATTCTTAGGGTCCATTTAGGAACTAATTCTAGGCTTTGAAAAAAGAACTATTTGTTGATACTAATTAATACAATTCTCTTGTAGGCGACTTCAGACACTTAACCACTGTTCAAAAATGAACCTTCACATTAAGGTATTATACTCCTTTATAAATGAGCAGTACTTACTAAATACAGCTGGCTTGCAGTAAACTTGTCACCTGTTAACAATCACTCAATGCTGCTCAAGTCTTCTGAAACACCCAAAGTTTAGATTGATAATGACCCCTAGTTACTCTGAAAGGGATACAGACAACATGGTCAGTGAGGGAAAGTTCCAGGAAGCTCAGAAGGGGGTCAAAAACACTGAGCGACCTGTCTTCTCTAGATAATATATCTATCACAAAGGAGGAACTTAGCTTTGAACCACCCCTAAATCCACCCTTCTTTAGATATATGTTGAGATATAGATATGTAGAGGATCAAATTAAGGTGGGAAATCTGACCGCACAATCAGCTAATACAAGATAAATAATAGTAGCATACCGTTAAGTACCACAAAAGCTGATTGTTTAACTACAGCACAATCCGATGGCAAGAATATGAAACGTGACCATGTCTCTTTGTAACCAACTGACATTAGTATTGATGGCAACTTGATTTGTTCTACTTTAAACTGCAACCCTTTTCAAAATAAATACTCATTACAGCTAGATACCAAATCGTGTCACTATCTTGTCTCGTAAAATGACAAGTTATTTTTTCAGAAAATTTTTACTAGCAGCTCTTTTTAATTCATAGCAGGAACTTGTGGATAAATTGAATCACTGTAAAAAGCTTTGTGAAACTGACATTTCGGATTTTATTCCTTCGTCAGAGTAAGTTAAAACCAAACCCATTTTCTGATGTTTTTTTTGACTAATCGTTTTCAGCACATCGATGGGTATGACTCTGATGAAGAAGATCTTATCACTTTAAGTTCAAGATGGAAACTCCAGAACAAAAACAGAAATTGGTCAAGACGTAAAAGGCCCTCATCACAATTAAGTGGGAGTGAATCTTCCAACTCAGCATCAAACTCAAACTCAACAAATTCATTAAGACACAAATCTGGATCAACTGATGTACTGAATGAGAGATGCATAGACTCAAATGTCAAGCAACTATCATTGCATGGAGTTGACAAGCTTTCACCTAAGAAATCGTTATCTCCATTGAACCTTTCGTTGCAAGAAGGAATTCGTTCTAGTTTATATGACAATATGCCTAGTGGTATTTCCCTTAGTACTCCATCAATATCAAGTGTCTCCAATGAACATAATCAAGGATCAGCATTAAGAAAGTCACACAAAAACCATAGAACTAACTTCACTACTAGTGACTTAGACCTTGCTGAAACTGGTTTATCTGCAGATGAACTGTCTGACAATGAGGAGTATGAAAAGGATGATGTGCCATCAGAATTAGTAAATGTGAAAAATTCTAGAATTACTGATCTTTCTGAAAATGGTACTTCTGATGGATTGCCGAAGTCTCATATACAAAGGACGAGATGGCATAGCTTTGAAAGGTCAACAAAGCCACATATACATGTACTGTAAGTACAAAGAATATAGCATTGACATAATACTGTTTATTTGCAGAGGGTTATATTAACCTTTTTGTTTGCACTAAAGAGTGACTGGTATGTTGTCCCAGCATGGTCGTTGCTTACATATAATGTGAATTTTCTTTAGGTCGACAAAGATTTGTAAACTTTCTGCTGGACAACTAGCTGTACTAAGAAAGTACTCTTTGCTAAAACTGACAGCTCTGATGGAGAGATATGCACACTCTAACAGAGGAATGTGGAATTGGTAAGAAATATTTTAGGTACATTTGATCATATTTATATTACATTAGCACCATATAATTTAATAATATACTATTATTATTGTTAAGGAAAATACTAACACAACTTCTGGAAATGTAGTCTCATTTTAATCTAATCTAAATTTTCTATGAATAAAATGAATAAATTGTAAACATAATGAGATAATTAGGATGTAATTGGATTTGGATTATAGAACCTGACCTAGCTATGTATATTTATAACATAAACAGCTTGTTTTGTATTTTTTAGGTCATTTCCACAGTTCCTTAAGAAGTTCAAGACGCCTGACTACAGAGGTTGGTGTTGGAGATTAGGTGTTTTAAAAGTGGTTTTAGATATTTGTTCGCTTGATATATCTTTTTATTCTTGACTTGAACAGACAAGAAAGTGTTTGGAGTTCCCATGTCTGTGATACTTCAGCGTAGTGGCCAACCTCTACCAAAGTCTATTCTCTTTGCAATGAATTATTTACAAAGAACAGGTAAGTGTGCAAGTAGATCAAGAAAACCCTATCAATTAGCACTTAAAATAATCAATGAAAGATATAATGCTAAACAGGAAAGCCAATTAACACAACATCATTAGAGGAAGCAATTCGCCTTTCCATAAACAGTAACACGCTGTCTCCAGGAATTGGCTAAAGTATTGAGAGAACAACATTTCCAACAATCCTCCCTGCTTTGTGGCACTACACTTGTGCTGCTTGTACTACACTTGTACTGCTTAAGGAATACTGGCTTGTCAAACATCACTATCACTATAGAATTATATATTAAATAATTATAATATTATCTTAATGACTTTGCAGGAGTTGAAGCTGTAGGCATCTTTAGGAAGTCTGGTGGAAAATCACGTATCCAGAACTTGAAAGAAATGATGGAAACTGACCAAGGTAGAAAAATTATTGAATTTACATGTCAAGACTGTTACCATGGCAATGGCCTTAAATACTAGGATCATGAGGTGTTACCTAGCAACCAAAGGGTTGGCCTATGCCTATAACATTTGCTGTTGCGTGGTATTGCCCTTATCTTATTTTGAAAATGTCGTATTGTTTGGCAGATCTGACTGATTTCGAGGGAATGTCACCATATGACCTAGCAGACATGCTGAAGGAATATTTCAGAGATCTTCCAGACCCTATCCTGACATCCAAGCTTGCAGAAACGTTCATAGCTATTTATAGCCGTAAGTGGAATATATTAAGAACATGCTTTTGACAATTATGACCCTTACACATTGAGAAGTATGAATAGTGTCTTTGAAATATATATCCCTAATAGACAATTTCATTATATTTTACTCCTTTATTTAATGAAAGTCAATGCCATTTTTCACTTCTTACTTAACTTGCTTAAACACATGCATAGGTACCCTTTTTGCGTCTAACAGTTTTCAATCTCTATTTATCATTTAGACATCCCAGAAGAATTGAGGTTAGAGGCACTACAAGGAGCCGTCCTTTTGATGCCTGATGAGAACAGGGAAGCCCTACAAACACTGCTACTCTTTCTCAATGATATAGCTGCTAATGCACCTGTAAACCAGGTAAGAACAAGAATGTTCTCTAGTTTGTCAGTTGCATATTCCATTTTTGAGTATCTACTATTTTTACTTTTTTGTTAGATGAATGAGAAGAACCTTGGTGTTTGTTTTGCACCATCACTATTTCACTTGTGTGGATCTAAAGAAGACCCTTCTGCACCGAAGCGCCAGAAAAGAACCCCAATGAACAAAGCTTCCAAGGAGCTTACTGATAACTTGGTAAGTCATCTAAAGATAATCTATTATCAACCATTATTTTCTTATCTATAATGCATAATGTGGAACATAAAAGTGACTTATTTTCTTCTTTAGGCCGCACATGAATGCCTCACTCAAATGATAATCGAAGTAGACAGAATATTCACGGTAAGCATACCATAGGTACTGTTTATCTACACTATAAATGTTAACTAGACTGACAGGCACTACGCTATTCCCTACTTCAGGTTCCTGAAGACACCTTAATGAAAAGCAGGTTTTCTTTCATTGAGCAAAGTCAACCAGCTCCCCTTGAAAAGCTGGGTAAAAACAAGGCTAATCCCTCTGATGACTACAACACATACATTGAATCTTGTATTACTGGCTTACTGAAGGTAAGGAACAAAATTAGGGTGTTATTTAAGTATCTTTCAGGTGCCACTATTGGTCATCACTGGAACAATGACCTTTTGTTGTTAACCTCTCACATTTGAAATGTTTAGGTTTTTCCTATGCCAAAGAAAGTACTAGTCAGAAATAACTTATTTTTCTTGACATTTTTTAACCAGGAAGCCAAAGACAAGTTCAAGGGCTGGGTATCTCATCCATGGCATGAAAACCAAGTTGAAGTTTCTTACAAGAAGATCCGTGATGGATGTCCCCTAAGACTGTGGCGGGGAGTGGTTGATGTAGATGCTCCTCCACAGCATGTGCTCCGAAGAATCACAGAGGAGAGGTAAGTYATATGCATATAAACCACATGCACTTTAATATTTAGTGATGTGGGCAAGATAAAATCCCCTTCACTAAATGTAGTTCACAAAACAATGATCTAAGTATAGTTGATATGAAGCGTAAATTTAGAATGAGTTCTTACCTTTTGTAGACATCTTTGGGATGAAGACTTGGAGACTTGGGATGTGGTAGAAAAGATCTCAGAAGACATTGATATCTTTCATTATGTAACCCAATCCATGATACTGCAACCAAAGAGAAGACATGTAGTGCTGAGGTAAGAAATTTATCATGACTTTCATATGCAAGGTCCAGAACTCCCTATTGGAGTTTCAATTTGTAACTTTATGTGAGTGGTTCATTGTGATAAAGGACTAAATATGCCAGAACCATCAGTAAGTTAACTTTATTACGGTTGCATTCAACACGCCAACACAATCCCAACTAGTAACTGCTAGTTATTAGTGGTTACAAACATATAGGAGATAGATTATATGTTAATCGGCCCTTACAAAAAGGTTATGTATATTTGTGCATAAAGCTGTCCATAAAAGGGCAAATGATGGATAATTAACATGTGTATTTATATAATTCCAGAGCAAGAAGGAGAAATCTTGAGCATGGTTCATGTGTGTTGGTGTGCACATCAGTAAGCCATCCAGAAGCACCTCTTATACAAGGTGTTGAAGCAACTGTTCTAGCACAACGATATCTGATAGAACCAATTGGTATTGGCCAATCAAGACTCACCCACATCACAAGGATAGATTTAAGGTATAGAACATACCAGCAGGCACGCTCTTCCTACTTTTTCGATATGTCATAGTAGATAAAAAAATTTTTTCAATGCAACCTTTTTTCATTCCCCCCCCCCCCCCCCATAAAAATTATGCTCCTTTGTCCCCGATTCATAAACATAATTCATACTAAATATGTTATTATTCCAGGGGAAGAACACCTGAATACTATAACAAGATAGGACCAGTGGTTGCAGCTTCCATTATGAAAATCAAAGAATCTTTTCCTGTTGGTTGTGATGGCCCAGAAACAAAGGTTTAAATTAATAATAATGATCAAGATAGGTAAACTAAGATCTCTTAAATCATTCTCAGCTGACTGCATCATACAAATTTTTGGTATCCATGCATGTATATATTCATACACTATAATATTTCCTAGTATACTATTTTCTTCACAATTATGGTGCATTGAATGTCCTAGGGCAGGTCCTCACATGGGGCTGCATTGAGCTGTCTATTCATTTCAAATCACCATTATTGACATTTCTTTACAAACATTTTCTTTATATATTGGGCTGTGAAGAAGGCCCCTTTGAACACAAAAAAGACTCAGAATTCTATGATCACTTGCCTCATTTTGTATATATTTGAGGTGAAAATGTTTGACTAAAACCCACTCACGATGACAATTCTAAACTTATTCTTCATGGCTCAATTTTTGGAGCCACACAATTTCTCTTTTTTTGTTTTCTTTTTGATTCATTGCTTGTAAACTATCTTTCAGCATCCCTTAGTTTTTCATTAAATTATTTGATGCCAATCATTATTATATATTCTAATATATTAATAATTATTCCTCTCAAGACGCCATTTAAAAGAATTCAAGCTTGTAAATATTAATTTTCCTAATAAACCGTTATTATTATTATTATTACCACAACTGGAATTTTTTCTAGAATGGAATGTTTTGTTTTTTCTGCTGGCTTTTGAAATGCGAGACATGATTAATGCCCTTTGAACTTTTCTTTGAATTATAAAATACTTCAAAGGTTACTGCCAGACTTAACATGAAATTATCATGAGTTTTAGTTTTAGAAGTGAAGGATGGGAATGAATTGTTTAAAAAAAGGAAGAAAGAAAGAACGTGCGCGCTTTTTCCCGCCAAAATCTCATTAGGACCACGTGTTTCGTGTCCCTGAGATAAAACCGCGTGACACCGTCCTCCCTTCCTAAAACGACTTTTTTTTGAAAATACGCAAAAGATCAGTAAGAAAAACAACCAACCTTTTAAGAAAACGGCAAAGAACAACTTCTTATATGCGTAGGGTAGAATTTACATAGTAAATCTGCTGAGAACAACAACAAAGATAACAAACGAGTTGGAATCTCGAAATGACTTTAAGTGGGGTCAACGACCTTTGAATTCAGGAAATATCAAGAAAAACCCAAGAAAAACAGTGCATCCAAAAGATACCATCTTTCCCTGATGTAAAATGAACGGAAGCCGGTATTCAAAGTTGTCTTTTCCACTTTATTCAAACTTCTAGTCACGTTGGTGAGTTTTTTGAGATAGTACAAGGCTGGTATTGCTATATAAACCTGGGTGGGCTGGTTTCATAAAGTTTGCAGATGTTAGTTTAACCTTTGGTTAAGGTTTTCTTTATTAGTTAGCACGCTAAGCACATTGAGTCGATTCAGGATGCTTGCTAGCAATCTACTGGCGAAGGAACGTAGTGTACATGTGCCGGGTAAAATCGATAGGTTAGCATGTGTGGTACATAGTACGTGCCAACAACTGAAGTGGAAGCAACACGTACACTTACGTGACCAAGCGTTAAAGACAAATACATAAATATCGCGAGACTTRAAACGCAAAATACTAAGATATAACTAGCTAAAAACTAGTGTGAGCTGCGTCGGTGTTTCTAATGAAACAGTAATGATAGAAAGCTAAATTATACACCGTGAAAAGATGAAAAAACTTACCGACGAAGGACTAGCGTCCGAAACGTCAGTCAGTTTTTCCATCTTTTCACGGTGTATAATTTACCTTTTTATCATTACGCAAAGTGCTACTTACAGCGGTTTCTTTTTTAATATAATTTTATTCATTAGTAATGAAATACTGATTTCCGTTCTTCTGAAGGCATAATTATGCCCACAATCCCACCACAATGGCTTAGTTCAAGGACGAATGGCAAATATGACTATTTTATCTGATAGTCAAGGTTCAATAGGCTGTAGGATTTTTATGAGACAGAAAAGTATAACAGATCGCGTGCTATAACCGGATGAATTGATCAATTCATTGCTGAACGATCAATAGACGAGCGTGACCTCTTTAATATCATGGAAATATATTTCTTGCTTTTCTCAAAAGCGCACGTCCATAATTCCAGCAAGTAAGGTTTTTTCTTTTTTCTTGGCCATGCGGAATAATAATGGTGGTTAAAAGAAGCTTCTTGTACGTACACAAAACACTTTGTCGTGCGCAAAAAAGTGAATGAGTCGGTGAGATGAGAAGCCAGTAAGCATAGTGTACATCCGGGCAATAGGCCAATGTTCGTCTGTACGTGGTTTTCGAACTTCCACCCTGATTTGTTGTCACGCTGCGCATCTCAAAAATGCCGAGAAAAGGAAACATACTCTATATAAAGTAGCAGATTGATACATTGGCTCTTAGGTTTTGCGATACTGCAAGAACTAGTAACGATGGAAATGAAAGAAAGAAGAATGTGAATTGATATTGTCAGTCTATTTTTCTGTGAACAGACTTTTGAGTAGCCAACACCCTTGTCTTTTATGAGTCGCATGTCTGCACGACACAAGTAAATAAAATACAGCACAAGAAATTATTTCCGAGGCCTGACTGACATACCTCCCATCAAAATCCCCTCACATGTTGAAGGGCTTAAGCTGGCTGAATGACCTGGTCATTATTTGTCTTGTGGATACGTGTCTGAAATAATGATAGATCCCAGAAGCCCTCGCTGTGCAAAGGGCAGACAGAGCACGCGAATCGAGTACAGCAAACTGTTCTTACTACTTATGGAACAGCTTGCATATCAAGACGTACTATCAAACGTCCAGACATGGAATAATTTGATGAACTCAAATGTAGACTGAAATGAGTAAGTACATTCCATCTCCATAGACTAATCTTTCTGATATACCAAATGTATAAAAGAAGACACGGACATACTTGTCACGCAGAAGTACTGAACGAGCTTCAGGTAACATTCATTTGGCGCTCTTGTAGCTGATAGCAAGTAATAAAGCTTTCTTCCTTGTAGTATAGTGTGTGTGTAGTACTAGCAGACATCTTGGAGGTAAGACCAATTAGATATCATCACATCCATGATATTATGTTAGCGACTTTCGACCGTTCCTCATTCATTGGCACACAGTAATAGCAATCTAAGTCGTTACTACTAGTAGTCTACTAGTATGTTAACTGCCGAAAAGGCAGTATTAGTTCTTAATGAACGCTAGTGCTGAAATATTGTTTGATAGATATGAGGTCAGTAATATTTAGTATATTTATTTATCGAGAGTAAATTGCGTGTATAATATTTTAAATCAGTGTAGTGAGCGAAGAATCATATCGGTATTACTACAGATGCCCATTGTCGTGTAGATCAAATACTTGCTCAACATTAGCTATCTGCATATAAAAAGCGACATAATAAGTTAGCGCCAAAAAAAAAACGACCTAAAGTGGCGGCCCGAATAGATTATTTTAATAATCCCCTTATGCTTCAAGTAGTACGAAAATATATGAAACAAAAAGATAACTTCATCAGATAAATGAGATAAATTACATCAATTAGCAATTATATTAGTTTAAAAATTAAAGATAAATTTGAATGAACTTTTAATGTGCCGGTAAACTTGTGATTGAGAGAGGATTTCTGGTTACATAATAGCGATATGGTTCACATATGATCGCAGACGATCGCAGACGATCGCTCTCGATCGCTCGATCGCAGAGTCCACTCAACCGAGGATCTCAAATCGGACTGTTCACATATGATCGCAGCCGATCGCCGGCGGTTTGTTGACACCTGAGTCCGCGAATTATCATTCAGCAGTAAAACAAAGTACGATGCAGATTCAACATAGACTTAAGAAAATAATCGCTGGCAAATCAAAAAAGAAACATTCGACTTTATGATCGTGAATACTTCATCAGGGGAGTCATCACTATGAAGAACAGGACGTGCAATCTTAAAATATACCCCCAAACGACAGTTGTTTACTTGCCTATATGGCTTACAAACGTAAATTAGCATATATAACCGTGTGTTGATACTTTTAAACCAGTTATATCTGAAAAAAAACTAAAAAGAAATGCTTTTTCGCTTGTGAAAATCAAAAATATACACGTGTTTTATGGAAAACTGAGCATTGTGGGACACCTTCCAATCTCACGATCGCAGAATTCTGTTCACATATAATCGCAAACGATCGCAAACGATCGCAAACGATCGCAAACGATCGCAACCGATCGCAGGAATAGAACCCGATTCTATTCCTGCGATCGTCTGCGATCGCGATCGCAGACGATCGCAGAGCTGTTCACATATAATCGCACTCGATCGCCAGCGATCCTCTGCGATCGTCTGCGATCGTCTGCGATCGTCTGCGATCGTCTGCGATCGTCTGCGATCGTCTGCGATCGTCTGCGATCATATGTGAACCAGGCTTGTGTAGTTGAGAGTTGGAATTTAGTCCGAAGTCATGAATAGACGTTTCGTGTATCAGTACAGGTGATAAAAATCACTTGTTGGCACTTTATTCAAAGTTTCAGCGGAAATATTACTTTACGACTAGTCTTAGTATTACGTCCAGTCTGGGGTTCAAATCCATTAGTATTGACCAAGTATCTAGATATATTTGTATTTTACATATGGAAAACTATTTATGTGTCTATCAAGGTAGGTTTTCGAAGACACTTTATTTATTTTTCTATTAAGTAGTATATGTTTCTTTCTAGAATCCTAACGAGTTTATAATTGAATTTTCTAGACTTTTCTTGGAATATCAGTCCCTAGCTTATTGGAATCAAGGCCCTATTTATAAAAAATAAAAATATCATGCCTTGATTAAGTGTCATGATCAAGCCATACTCACTAATTTATATTTACTTTACATGTCAAAGGTATTTGAAGTTATTTATATTAATATAATAAATAGATTCTAATAATCTGGACTTGAGTGAGATGACGAAAGTGACTAGAATGGAAGGTCTTAACGACCCTGTCACATCATGCGTGATGAATGACATCTTTTGCACGTAACATTCAAGCAGTTACACATCATTAAATCATAAATGAGTCTTAAAACAGTAGACATTATAGAAATGACGGTTAGACAAAACTAGTAATGCAATTGACAGAAAAATGGGAGATAAATTGTCTGTCAAAATTGGAATTGCCTTCAGATGGTGAACTACGAGTAGGCTATGAAAGGACCCCTAGAAAGTGGGGAGGGGGGAATGGGAAAATATAAGAAACTAGTATGGGAGCTATAGCCCCCCAACCCCCCTCTCCTCCGTGGTCCCTGCTATGTAGTAGAATGTGGTGGATGTCAGTTGATATAATTCTCTACTTTCACATGCCCATAATGCCTTGTGTCTTTGGGGGGTAACCAATCAAAAAACGGTCCCAAATTGAATGGTTTCTTAATTGAATTTATACTATACCTGCTTTTATCTGTACAATACTGATTATCAGTTTATTCCAAGTTATTTTTGCGTGTACATGCAGATCATGAAGAGTTTTGGTCCTTACAGAAAATGTATTGACTTACGAAAAAAATGTTTAAAATTTACCTTAAACGTCTTCAAGCTTCTATCTTTTTCTGTTTTTTACTTCTTCATTTTATTTTTGGATAGCAAACAAGGTATTGTCAACATTGTCTGATCAGCCTTCAACAAAATTAGTGGGTATTTACCCTCTGGTTACCCCCAAAGACGCAAAGGATTATGGGGATGTGAAAGTAGAGAATACCTCAGAAACCTGCTCATATGAAATACAACCATATGGGCAAATATGACACCGGTGCATGTTGTGCAGGTCAAGGAATGCTTGCTACCATGCCACATGCTCATATGTCATACGACAAGGAATTACACAAATGCACGAGTAATCTATCGAAGTTTAGAAAAGGTACAAAGAGATTAGAAGCTAGAGGCCGTTAAATGCGTTAAGTAGTATTCCAGGTCCTTTACTTCCTGTACAAACCACAGCAAACGGGATGATCCACTCGTACTGCCAGATAACTGTGTTTCCCGTTATCCCGTGTGATAACCTTCATATCTACAGCAGGCAATCCACTAGTGTCTGTTCATGTGGTTTCTCAGCTGTTTTAAAAGACTTCAAAAGGTTTGATAGCGTGCGTACCATATATAGATATATGATGACAACACTGAACGAACCCGTAATGATATGACGTAACGTCATGGGATACTTTAGTTCGACCTCTACATACAACACCGCATTAAGCCATAAGATAATTCCTATACATTGATATCGATATGAATAATTCTATTCTGATAACAGTTTTGAGACCCGCTGTGATTTTCTTCATCTTTATTCATAGACGAAAAGAGCATTCATCCTGCCCTTGCTTTTGAAAACACGCAGTAGGTGAAATGCGTTCTCTTACATCATTGGATCTTTAAGTCGTGTATACATCTATATTTTATTTGATATGCAAAATACGCATTTGTTAAAGTAAATAAAACGAGATTACATCCAAGTGAAACCGCAGTAAGCAGTCCGCACCATGGAGTGACTTGTTCCCTCGAGATATGTGGAAATGAAATGATTATACTCATAAAGAAGTTTTAAAGTTGCATGATGTTGGTCCAAGTCGTTTCAAGTGCATCTTTAACATAAAGTAATGTCATGCGATAGTATTCAGTAGTAAAGATCGAGCGGCGTTAGACAACCTGCCTCTTATCTGGATCATTTCCCTTGCAGACTTTAGCGAGTGACGCACATTGGGTTCATCTAGAGGTAGATAACCCAAGACGACCGTAACATCACACCTTTCCGACGAGGTTCCGATACGAGTCCATCAACACATCCACTACTGAGACCCGACTCTACTTTAGCGGGATGGTCATTATGGATAATGTTTATCCAGGGAAACAAAGTACGCGCTCGGGAATCCCTCGCGTTCAAACGTTTTCCGAAGGTAAGACCACACATATGGTATGACTATTATAACCTAACGACACTGTAAAATATACATTTTCCTGCGTAAACTGTTCACCATCAAACATCATCCATTTGCTTTTGTTTATTTTTACTAAGCAGTAAGATTTCGTTATGCAAACTTTGATTAAAACTACCATTGTTTGTTAAAACTGCTGACTTGAGTATGACTTTTTTCAGTATACTTGTATAACCAGGTCCTTGATTTCACGATCTGAGAAGGACTTGTTTATGTACTCGACTGGAAAAAAACATATTTTTTGATGTTGGGTCATTCGTGTGGCTCTTTTGTAGGAGTAGATTATTTACTTAGCAAGAAGAGATTTGGCAAAGTCATCACCCAGTCAAAAGCCATCATGAAAGTTAATTGAAAACTGATATGAAAAACAATCCCACACAGACTTCAATCTTATTGATCGGCAAATGACCAAAAACAACTTGTAGCTGCCCGTGTAAACAAAGTAAAATAAGAAACTTGTGAAGCGTTTTTTAATTCGTTTGTCACTTGAATGAGAGGTCGCTTTTTGTGTCAAACATAATACTTGTAGCCTCTTTGGTGTCCAAGTGCCTTTCAGTCAACACTGTCAGCACCAAAAATGATTTACAGAGTTGGGAGGTTAACCGTGGAAACCTTTCGGCTCAAGTTTGCACAGCCCTTTCTTTTACTTCTTGTTTCCATCAGCGGAAATGGCACAGTATAAGAAGTTAACCTTTCAGTACTAACAAACTGTTTGTCCTGAGCTTCAATGAATATTTCTAGCAAACCTGAGATGAACCAGGTCAGTAAACTTGAGATTTGAGTGATCAGATGTAGGAGGTGCATTCATGCTCCTGATAGCTTCAAGCCACTATTCAGTTTGGAGTGGCATTACTGTTAATCGTCCTCATACTCCTAATCGTACATAACCATCCACTGAGCAGAAAACACCATTTCCATACTGACTGCTATGCTGCTGTTCAGTTGTCAATACCGATAAACAATAAACTTCTGTTTATCAACATCTTCAATGATATGCAAATTGAATCAAAATTTGATTAAAAGATGAAATCTGATTGATACTGAGACAGCGGGTCTTAGGTGTGGAATGACTGCCGCAAGCCAGTCCTGTAGCATATTAGAGCCCTGTGGGTTTTTACTTGGAGCCACTTGTCGAGAGCTCGCTTCAAGAGCAACCGCCTTGCCAAGATGGCGGTGTTATGATTTTGATAACTCGTTAAGATGAAGCCCTTAGGCAAGAGAATGTGCAGTTGCATATTCTAAATATAGAAACACTAATATTGCTGCAAACATGAATTCTTTATAAAACAAAGAAAATTAGAAATCAAGCACGATTGCATAACTATTAATGTCATGCATGCCAACTTTGCAAGGTTCTTCTACTTCTTCACAAGTCGACATACATGCATCCACTTAATTCGCATACATGTCAGTCAGTATTGGTGTATTGCGTAGACGCATTCGTCAGTTACCGGAAACCCGTTCCTATATATAAAATAGTGCTCACTCTTCCTCTACCAACACATCTCGGTCAAACCTCATTTGCAACACGTACTACCTATCACACAACAATTTCTTTAAATGACTGAAGTGTTGGTCTAATCGAGGATAACAGCTTTTACTAGTTACATTACGCAATGGTTAATGTGAGATTTCGTTTAGAACATATGATGTCATCAGCTCATTGTTCATCAACCAATGAAATCCAAGAGTGTATTCTTTTAATTAATAGGATCAACCATCATGTCAATCACCAAGTCATTAGCAACTCAGTCACGGCTAACTACAAAATACAATTCGATCGTGGACATGAAGTCCTGACTTTAGTAACATAAGTTCTAAGTTAGTGTTTTCACCCAGATTATTTCTTTTCATGACTTTCAACAAAACTATTAATTCTGGTGGACGGATTGATCGACTAAGGTGTTGATGGTTGTTGGAAATATCAGTTTGATTGTTCCGTACACCGTAGAGAAGGTCCTACTACCAATCGTAAGGGTAACCCAATCTAAGGCTACCATGAGCGACACAGCAGATTTCTACAAACTCCACCGCAAGTACTGTAATACTAATGCCTTAAACACAAACCCCAAACTAGACGACTCTGGTCATAGGAATGGAGCAAAAACCAACGATAGTCCAAAATCACCTAAACGCATTACAGGCAAGAATAAGTTTATGTCAAGTAATAGGATTGCCATCAAAATGGCCGGACCCTGGCCTTGTACATCCGAAAAGCCGACAATCACTCAGTACTTAATGGCCGTGATATGGATTCCGGACCGGTGGCCGGGAATCCATGGACCATATTCGAACAAAATATACGGGTAGTAAGAGCTGCGGTCAATCACACTAACAGGTTCTAATCAGAGGGATTTGATTCATTTATGTTTAGGCATGCAAAGTAAAGGATCCCAAAAGGAGAAATTCTTCGGAAAGTCTTGGAGGAACCGATCCAAAGTGATTGCAAATGCTGGCAACTCGTTGTGGTCTCCCGATTCCAAGGTAGAATTGATTATATTATTGTGGAAGTGTTTTCTAATGTCTGTTTTAGTGTTTCTCCTGTGGTCACCTGTGAAGACAGTTGTGTTGAAGAGTCTATAAGTAGATTTGAATAGCTGTATACATGTAAGTCAACTGTCGTGTTGTGATGTACAACATTCATTCCAGTCGTGTTTAGAGTTAGTGTTCTATTAGCTCTTTCAACCCTACTGTCGACACTGGTTTATTCACCCTTCTATAAACATCAAAGTAATTGTCAAGTGTTAGGAGTTCGATAATGATGTTTGTAAACGGCACGGTCAGAAACGCTAATACAAATCTTACTGAAGGTCTAACCTTTGTTAAGTTATGAATGTTATCTGATTTGGTAGTGACCGTATGAAGAATAAAGATATCGTACTAAGATTCTCTCAAGACATTAGTTTATTAAAGCCAAAACAATTGAATCTGTGCTATTATGCGCTACAATGCGTCGGCAAAGATTAGATTGAGGTAGTTAACAGTTTGCATTTTCAATTACGCTAAGTGATAACCGATTTGTTATTTTGCAGGAAAATTATTCGTGGAGTTCTGTCGGTGGTCGTCAAGTCTGTCTTACCACAATAGATATTAGTGATTTAACAGAACCAGAAAGACTAGCTCTACAACAAGTTGCTTTGACCAAACTACGCCATCTAAACCTACGCAGTCACGTCACAATCCCTAAAAGTAAGCAAGAATACCGACAACATTCAAAGTGGCATATTTCATTTTCTTTCCTTGTTCTTCCAAGCGTACGATTCTACTTCAGTACTTCAGTACTGACACGAGCCACTACTTGCTCACTCTATCAGTTGTTGTAATAGTTTGTAAAGTATGTCCACTGGAGATCATGGCGGGATTTCAACTTTTACTTCTATATTTAGCCTGTGTTCATTACTGAACCGTCTTGTGTGTCTGTGTGTGTAGTAATATTTGTTTAGATACATTATCAAACAACCTTGCTTGTGTAGTGCATGTCACGGTTCACGGGTCAACCATACTCTTGTGTTTTTTAATGCGGGTTGCATTTGCTAAGTTCACAGCACTTTGAAATCATAATTTCTCATCTTAAGCTCTTAGTACTTTTTAGTACTTTTTGAGTGAACAATTGTTGAACAAAAGACCTACGAGTGATTTTTACACAGTGTTAATTTGTGAAATCCTTAGTACGTGAGCTTGTCTAATAATGCACTTAGACGAATAAAGATTAGTTGGATAATATTGGAAATAATCATCAGCAATCCAACCTCACTGAATTCAATATCACGAAAATGATTTTCTGTGTACAAAGAAGATATGGTTGTCATCTACTGTTAGATTCTTTTTGAAAGAAGAAAATTATATAGTTATAGAGAATAGTGGAGATTTAATGGAATGGCTTGCAGTGTTCTTTATTCAAATACAAAACATACTCTTGATAAATTGCTTACTGCTCACACTTTGCAATACATCTAATCTACCTACACATAAGACCAAACCTCTTCTATCCTCTCCTCCTTCTCATCTATCAATACTAACTCTCTACTTTCCTATGTTCATTTTACAGCCTCTCGTTCAGACAAAAGAACCTCTTCATTAAAGAGAGTTTTGTCTTTGAAGGGTAGACTGGCAAGTGGAAGCTCTGATAAACCTAATGGTAAGATTACCTTGTCTAAACTCATCCTAGAAATCAAAGATTATCTATAGAATAATTGTTGTATATCAATATTGTAGATACTGGTGTTTTTGCAATACCTCTGTTGAAAGCAGTGGCTCAAAGTAACCCAGAAATCACACATAAGAGAACAGACAAAGACAATGGAGAGAATCAAGGAGAATTCATTGACAATAACAATGTTGAGATTCCTAGAGCAAGAAGGCATTCTGCGTCAAGTGTTAACCAACAGTATCCAAGAGGAGATAAAAGTAATGGACACTCAAGCCGTGACCCTCCTGAATCCCCTACATGGAAATCCAGACTAATAGATGCTTTAACACTGAATTCATCATCAGCATCAGCATCTTGTATTATAGATAAACAAGCTACATTATCACCTCAACCCCCTAGAGTACCTCCTATAGTAACACAAGCTATTGAGCATTTAGAAAACTATGGTAAGTTCACAACAATTATTCCCTTTATGTCTATTTTTAGCATTAATAATTCCTTTTATTCCAATAAATGTCCAAAACATCTGCATTTTTAAAACTTTCTTACATTGTGTTTAAGTTTCCTTCTTATGTGATTGAAATAGAATAAGTCATGCATGCCTTATCATAAAAACAATACAACTAATTTCAAAATGCTATGTCATGTAATGTAACATACATGTATCTTTTGTCCAATTGGTTATCAAAAATACTTCAAAGAGCTGAACAGTGAAATAGAATGAAAAATGAGTGATTGACAGACAGGACAGAATCCTAAACAAGTACCACCATGTCTAGATATCAGTACAAGGAACTACTTTAATCCTAGATATTAAAGCTATTTGAATATCAATCAGTATTCAAACAATTGAGAAAAAGCATGAATAAATACAAAGAGGAAAAGTTGCCCTTGGCTTTTCAAAAATCCATTTTGCATACCTCTATTGATGTTTAAATAAAGAAACATACTTGAACTAAAAATAATGACTGACGATGAATGACTGACGATGAATTACTGCCAATCATTAATGAAGAAACATTTTGTAATAATGGAAGTGTCTTACTTGATGTAGTCTTATTAAGAACACATAATTTCTCTATCTTTTAGGTCTTAATGTTTTAGGAATCTTTAGAACTGGAGGATCAAAAAGGCGAATGAAACAGGTAACAGATATATATGGCATCCTTGAAAGGGATAAAATGGGTTGGAATTAATATAAAAAAATTCACTAGTGAATAAAGTTTTCCAAATTGGTGCTCTAAGAGTCTGTCATCAGATTCTTGGAATTGTTGATGTCAATATATTGCCCAATAATTCCTGTCTTCAACAAAGAACACCAGTAACAAAGACAGCCTACATCCCATTACAGCCAAGGTTATGCCATTATCATACCATTCCAATGATATTTGAAATATAATCATCTCAAAAGATTAATAGAATTAAGTTGTTACATCCATTATATATTTATAGTTGTCAATCATTTAGCAATTATTGAATTTTATTTGTCAATTTGCAATTCAAAAAAGAATTTTTGCCTCTTTTCTTTATTTAAGCCAAACAAAATGCTTAAAAATAGCTCTTTGACCAATAGAATACAATTTTCATGAAGGCATATTACATATTTCTTGATCTAATGTTTTTTTGAATCCTTTGAAATTTCCCCTATTTTCAGATGAAAGAACAATTTGATTCAGGTGAAAAGAAAAAGTTTACAGCAGAAGATAATCCTCATGACGTAGCGGCATTATTCAAGGAATACTTTAGAGATTTACCTGAACCCTTACTTACTAGAGAACTGTATGCAGCATTCTTAGAAACCCAAGGTATATTTTACAATCATTATTATGAATAGTTGACATTGATATGAGAAAATGTACTTGTTTTGACTTGGTAGGCATAAGTAATGCCAGACCACAGAGTGTGCAAGCATTTATAAATTTATTAAATATTTTTTCTAATTAATACTTAATGTATCATTATCTTGGTTGATAGGAATGGATGACATAAGCCTTCAGAAAACTGTTTTACAATTATTATGCTGTCTCCTGCCAACCCCTAACAGGGACACGCTTAAAGCTTTGCTAGAATTCCTATCTAAAGTGGACTTCTACTCTAAGGACAGAGTAGATGAGAATGCAATTGAGGTAAGAGCCTATTTAGCAATTAGTCCTCAAGCATGAATGGGCTATTGACTCATAGGCCATGAGGCCGAGGGCTAATTGTTTTAGTCAAATCCAACTAGTTGGTCAAAAATTTAGATACAAACGTAAATTAAAGTTAAATCCAATTTTTTTGCTTTCAAAGCTGGAACTTTTCGCAACTACTAGGCTATAACTTATAGTCTACTAGTAGCTCATCCAATCAGAATGCAGCATCGATAACAGACCACACTGGCTGGCACATAGATAGTCAGTTTTATGACATTAGTTAAATTGACTGTCAGTTTGCAAGTGCAAATTGTAGAAGCAAAACAATGATTAGGCGAGCGAAGCCCCACGGATTTCTTCATGACATTCAGCAGTTTTCGTTTGCAAAGGGAAGATGCATAATTTAGCGGGCTAAGAGCAGCTTCTATTTGAAAAAAAGTTTCTGAAAAGTTCATGGAGTTTTAAATGATTGAAATAGTTTGATTCAAGTTTTCTTTTATAGCTAATAAATGAACAAAAATAGACGTGCACTTACTAGAGAATTTTCCAATGCTTGTTAAGCTTTGCTGTAAAGAAAACAATTGAAGAAGTTTGGACAACAAGACAAGACTGAAAGCACGCACTGTCGTCCGCCATTTTCGACTTATGCAGCCCAGATAGGGGGGATGGGAACCCTGTGTCAAATGTCCGAAGATAGCACGATATTACGCGATGATTTTCCGAAAAACTTGATATTTTTGTTTGGGGAAATTCTGAAAAATAACGTAAAATAACTGGATCGTATTTTCTTATTTCCTTCTAGATTCCTGGTAACAAGATGAGCAGTCATAATCTTGCTACACTTATTGGGCCTAATATTTTACACAAAGTAAGTAATTTTTTGTTTATTCCTTCATTCATATTCTCATTAGAAGACAATCTGTGCCTTCAAATCATTACTCATCCAATATATCATCTTTGTTTAGGTAAAGTCAGGTCATCACCAAGACTTTCTAGTTGAGGATCGTGCGAGAGCTGAAGAACGTAAAGAAGTAATAGCTGTTGTCGAGGAGTTAATAATGAATTGGAAGGAAATGTTTGTGGTAAGTTGTGGAAGGGAAAAATGGGATGGGTTGGATGGGATTGGAGCAATGGGATTAATGGGATTATAAATATATGCAATAGATATGCAATTTATTATTTTTACAGCTTTTATTTCATTTTTTTCCCTTTGCTGTATTAGATTTCCGCGGATCTTTACAACGAAGTTTATCTGTATCTCCTGGAAAATGAACCGGAAATCCTCGATTATTTGTTACGAAAAAAGACGCCAACAAGAATGAGGTATCTACAAACTATTTTTTTGTTTTGCTCGTAAATCGGTTCCGCCTTACTTACATTTGACTTACTTTGATTACAGCGCGAGCCCAGATGATATCCTAGAATTCGAGGTTCCTGTCACCACGAACAAACAAGAAACACCACAACATAGATGTCGATGTCGATCAACTGGCGAATCGGAAAAAATGACAGGCGTTTTTCGCACGGCCAGCGCACCCAACACGCGCCTACCCCCTGRTTATCATCAACATCGACTACGTAACCAAGGTTACACAGTTAGATCATCTCACGTGACTCCTGTTCGTAGCCGTTCGTTAAATCAAGAGGAAGGAAATGCTTTTAAAGGGAGGAAGTTCGTTCGCCAGTTATCGTCACCTGAAAATACCCATCCTCACTCTCCTGGAAGCAGTAGAAGTAGACAAAGAACTCCACCCCTCCACCCACGGGGAAATCATCGGATGGGAGGCAGTTTCAGCGAACCTCCGTCACCAGCATTGTCTTCATCTTATTCTCATTCTTCATATTCAACACCATTGTCATCTCCTCCATCAACTCCTTACTTCTCCGCAGAATCGTCGTGTTCATCGCCTGTTACCGTGTCGTATCTTGGTAGCGAAGGACCGATTGTCACAGAACTTGCAGAACTGCTCAACGAAGTAGAATCAGATTTAGCGAAAGAGCGCGCACTTGGACATTTTAATGCTGATGGGAACATGGACTTAGAAAACGATATTCCTGATTGGCAATTATCCCGATGGATACAGTGGGAAAGTATCACTCAACGAAGGAGTAGTAAAAGAGACGCTTTAGAACAAGAAACCTTAGTTTAATGTGTTAGTCACTAAGAAACTAAACTTGTGTGTGACAGAACAATAATTGTTGCGCAACAATAGAACATTATTGCGCAATGATTTCGTGAAGTTAGATAGCAGCTGCTGTCACAATTTTGTCCATTGAGGGTGATTATAATTTATATTATCATCGAATGCGCAAAGTAAGCTGACTTAGATTAATCAGAAGACATTCAGCCTCTGAATACGCTACGATTTCAGTCGTAGTATATTTTCAATGATTTTCAAATCCTTAGACGATGTAATAATTAGACGATGTCATATTATCAGAGATAATTGACAGATTTTTCTGTTTTTATTTTAAGAGAACACAAACTAACTAATATCCGGGTATGTTTCGTGCGCTACCTTACATTTTTATTCAGTTGACATCAGCTGTGCATAAAAAGTGGACATCTTTTGAAGTTAAGATTATAGTTGAAAGATAGATAAAGTAGCAATAGTCCTCGTTGTCACCTGAAGGCTTGATAGACATGCGCACTCTATTTAAACACATTTTACAGTCAATTTGGACGGAAAATATTACGATAAGTACAGTCTACACTGTGTGTAGGAAAACTCTGTAACGCCTTGTGAGGCGAACAAAATTTAGATAAGATGCACATACTATTATTGACTTTGTACATATATTGAGCACGTTCATGCGTCATATGGAACTGAACGACAAGGGAGTTTTATATAATGATTATTATTATCACCATTGCGAGGCTCTTATTGACTCTGTACAAAAGTAAAGCGAGTTTTATTTCATCTTCTTGGCCTTGCCTTTTTACTATATTTATTAGTAAACCTATTGATACACTAACACTGAATCAGTATTTTTATACATTTGTATCTATATTATCGTTTTATTGGAGAAGGAATGAGTCCACAGGTAGCTCAAGCTTGGTTTCTGTGGTGTCATGTTATAAGAAAATGTATGGGGATTCACCAAAAGTTTCAATAAAATCACTGAAACATGAAATAAGGCCTCGAAATTTTACCCGAACATTGAGACTAGCGCTTCTTTCGCTCTGTGTGGTTATTTTTTGGAATTCAGCCCGTTTTAAGGATTTTTTCCCCCACCACTAAGAAATAAGCTCTTAAAAATAACCACACTCAGGGGAGAAAGTGTTGCGTGACGACAATGAAAGAGGCTGTGGGGGAGACTATGATCTCACTCGCTCTCACATGGTTGATGTGAGCCAATGATGTAAATATAACTGTTGGGGTGCCTGTGGATATCGAGTAGCCAAGCCTTGATTGGATAGCGTGGTTACCTAGGTAGTTCCATGTGCTCGTAGAYCTTTGTATTCTAGGGTTTGTTTTCATGTTTATTTGAAGTTTTCTCGATCACACTAGATCTTTTCCTTGCTTGATAGTTGATCATGAGTTTCCGTGGTCGTGGTGGAGGCGGTGGTGGATTCAGAGGCCGTGGTGGTGGTCGTGGTGGAGGTGGATTCAGAGGCCGTGGTGGCGGTAGGGGTGGCGGTGGTCACTACGATCAGGGACCACCTGAATCAGTCGTAGGTAAGTCAGCAAACTGGTCCTTATTATCTGCACCAAGTAAAATAACTGTATCATGTATGGGAATACATCACATTAGATTTGAGATTCCATCATGTGTCTGATCTAATCTTACTGCAAAACTATTGTAGCAATAATAAACTACGATTGTTTTTTACTCTTTGCTCAGAACTTGGACTCGTCAAGCATCAATGTGAAGAAGATCTCGTATGTTCATGCACCAATGAGAAAATACCATATTTTAATGCACCAGTGTACTTGGAGAATAAGTCCCAGATTGGAAAAGTAGATGATATATTTGGACCAATCAATGATTTTGTATCCTTTGACGTCAGTGCATTAACATGTTTTATCAGTCTATATCATATAAGCACTGAATACATRCTTTTTTCTAATGGTGAAAAGCATTTCTTAATCCCCTTAATGCAGATACTTTGTTATTATGGACTGCCTGTGTTAACTGCATTAACCAGGCTTGTTTATCACTTTAATATGACTGTGATGTAATGTAATCTCCATACAGATTCCCCATTCAGTGGKTTTATATCTCTTGTATATCAACAGAGAAGTATTTGTACTCATATTGTTAGCTTTGTTGTCTCCTCTACTTAGGTCTATAATAATCTTTTATTGCACATTATGTGATTACGGCCATGTTGGTGCTGTTTAAATAAGGATTTCTCATTAGCATCCATTGTTAATCGCACCAAGATTGCCACATGTTTTTGTCCTTTGACTCTCCTGGTAATGCTTGCCATCCATCAATAACCAAATCTTTGGTTAAGTCTCCCAAAAGATTTGCTTTGTACTCCCTAGTGCTCTGCTTGACAATAGACAGGTTTTTGCTGGTTCTTTGATCTACACTAGTAGACTATGAGCCACTGCAGAGAGTAGAGTGGTGCATAGATTGTCATTAATGTTCGAATGAAGGCAGGAATGTAATGCCATATCTAGACATTATTGATATCCTGAAACACCCTCAATTATTGCTYGATACGAAAAAATAAATTACACTATTTTTCTTGACATTCCATCAGTTCTTTTCTGTAAAAGTATCAGACAATATGAAGGCATCTTCATTTAAAAAAGGACAAAAGGTAAGAAGCACTTGGTTACTCGATTTTAGAACTGGACTGGACTAAAGGGATAGTACTGTACCTGAATTGAATAAAGAATACAATTCAATTAATCTATTATTTTTTCCAGTTTTTCATTGATCCATACAAGCTTCTCCCACTTCAAAGGTTTCTGCCAACACCATCAGGTGAGATGCTCACAGTTTTCAGTTGCAAAGTGGTATTTTATTACTCCCATTTCCTTGTGATGAACATATCTCCAGACATGTGGAGTTTTGGCTCCAATCTATTATATTTCTAATGGTCTGGATCAGGTTTTTTATTGAAACCAGAATCTAGAAATTGTAATGTTTCCATGGTTTTTAAATTTTTAATTTTCTCTTAGGTGGAGTACAAAAGCGTGGAGGAGGAAGAGGTGGCGGAAGAGGTGGTGGAAGAGGTGGTGGAAGAGGACGAGGAGGAGGGAGAGGAGGAGGGAGAGGTGGTGGTCGAGGTGGAGGTATGAAATGTACTTATTTATGAATATTGGTCTTTTTTATTATGTTCTCCTAAATCAACAATTGATATGCATGTTTTATATTAATGTGTTTTAGGTTTCCGTGGTGGAGGAGGAGGACGTGGAGGGAGAGGAGGTGGTGGATTTAGAGGTAAATATATATTTCATAATCCCATTTTCATTCTCTACATAAATTTATGTTTCATATTTTGTATTTATTTTAGGCCGTGGAAGATACTAATACGTACGTTGCAAAGATTTTCAATTTACTCCATACAAGCTGCCATCAGACCAGATACATTCATTAGCTCTCAAGTAAGATACTCTTGGGAGATACAACAGAATCATCTTCAAACAAGACAACACTATTCAGTCTGTATGAAGCAAGACTCCATGCTGGAAAGTCATTTGGTTTGCTATACATGGTTAATGAACACACATGATTGGTGGTACGATTGTACAAGATAGTTCACAAAGAAATGTGAGCAATCTCTTGTGTTCACTACATCCAACCATAAGACCCTACTTCTTTGTCTGAAGTCATTTTAAGCTTGGCTTAGCATTTTCTACCCTGGTTTTCAAAAGTTATTTTTCTCCTGTGCCAAGGGTTACAAGAGAAGCACTAAATCAAGACAGGCTTTGTAACGTAACCCAGAGTTAAAGTTTCATACTCGTCAAGCAAAAGTTTCATACTCGTCAAGAGATTTGAGTATCTGCTAAAAAATTATCATTAACACAGGTCTAGAAACCTTTATGAATAGTTTTCCTGGCCTGTCTTAATTATACTAATGATATTTGTAGAACAATTATTTATATTGTTTTTAGTACAATTATTTCTTACAACTAAAAATGCAGTCAGCTGATCTTGAAATAATATTTTTAATGAAAATTTTTGTCTAAAACAAAATCAGTATGTGTAAGTAATAACGTTTTGCAAAAATTAAAAACTATTTGTTCTCTAAATCGAGTATTTTCAATTGAAAAACTAAAACTACTGAATATGACCAAGTGACAAGGGATATGCATGAGTAGATTTCCCTGCGAGTCCTTCCGTCACAGTTCAGGTTCTTTGCCAGTATTCCTTGCCTTTTCCATCCTTTCTTTCTGTAGAGTATGGTTTGTTTAGTGATCTAGCCTCGTGGTGYAAGTGATTATTCTGTAAGTCTCGCCATTGATGTAATGGTTCTGGTTTCGGTGGGATAAGGTTACGGTAACGATCTGACTTGGAAGATACTTGTTGTGAAGCTTGGCRTGAGCCTGCCGCGCGAGAACACTCGCGTGTCCCCATACGAGATTCTAGGTTTCCATCACGCGTTTCTAGTCGTCTTTCGTTTTCTTGTGCTTCCTAAAGAAAGAAATACAATTAACTTGTAGACGCATACCATCTATTTCAAGCCCTTTAACCTTTAAGACTGTAATTCTACGCCAAGTCCTTAAATGGCTGCCATAGTCTCGGAGAGTAAAAATATGGCATRAATCATGATTGAGATTGAATCAAAATCCTCACTGAATTGCTTGACCATCGTTCCTGGCTGTTTGCAGAGGAGCTTTTGTTGACATAGTTGAACAATGTTTTATTAGATTATAATAAGAACAAAGATTTGCATAGCACAAACCTTTTGATAAAGTAAATACAGGATTAAGGGTCTATATTTTAAACCCTATCTGCTATAACTACAATTCTTTTTCATGTTTCAACCTGTTGAACGATTAACCTACCCTTTTCCTTGCAAGGTTCTCCAATGCCTCGTGTTTTCTGTCAATGATCCTCTGCTTTCTCAGCGCCTCCATGTGATACGGGAAGTCGGTCATTGTGAAGGGATTTTGCAGCTCAGCCTAGTTTTCAGCAGATTTACCTTTGTATAACAGTATCCTGCGGCACGGCGCTGAAAGTGTTGCGCTTCAAACCTGCTCCAAACCTCTTTGACCAGGCAAACAAGCCAACTATAAGACTAACTCTCGTCTTCTGCGCGTCTTCGTTGCATGAGAAGCAGCTGTAACGATTTGTTACCATGACAACGATTCTACAGACGTAATTAACGTTAAAAGAGGCTTTGTTAGGATATAAGTGATAATGATGCCTTTAATAAGAACAAACACTCACGAAAACAAAGTGTGTGCAAATTTATGCAGTGTTGGACAAACAAAAATTATGCAGACAAATGATATATTTATTCTGACTTGCACTGAGACATGCGATTTATTTACGCAAACTTTTCCAACATTATTATACTAACTTATCTTGACCTCTCTTTTATCAGTGAACTTTCCATAGCCAGCACTTAAACCATAACTAGATTCACAGTTCGATGTTTCGGATCGAGTTAGTAAATAATAATACTAGACGCGTTAGAAATAGAAATTAAGGCGGTTATTGCCGTCCACCCAATCGCTTTATCCAGTCCAGTCCTTGCGCAACATGCAGAACGAACACTCAGTTTCCCATTAATTCGTCTCGTCAAGGGCGCGAAACTTACGGCAAAACATGCCGTGCCGTGCCTGAGAATCCTAGCTGATCTCGCGCGTCAATATATCCGTGAGCCGCACTTTTCACACTCGAATAAAATGACTATAGCTTCCTTTATTAATCTAGAATGAAGTAGGTCTTTTGGAGACAATGCGCACTAGAGAGGGATYAAAGGCTCGATTACACGGAGCAATTTTCTCTGCAACTTGTTGCAACACAAGAAACAATTGCTTTTACTTTTTGCAACACTGAATTTCTGCGACTTGYTTTGCAACATTTTTTTCAAATTGCGCTGTAGGTTACAGGCTGTAATGATCCAACTTGTGTTGTAACGCTGTTGCGAGACAAGTTGCAGAGAAAATATTGCTTCGTGTAATCGCGCCTTAAGACCGAACGTGCTTCCTCCACATGCAAGTCCCATTATTGATGTGCCAAGTCTACGTTTCTATGAGGTAAAGGAACAAGATTTCTGTCATGACGGATTCTAAAGCGATTATTCAACCATCGATCTTGATATTGTTCAGATCTTGAGGATGAACGCTCTTCTAGAGTTGGTTGTCCAATGCGTTGATATCCCAGTACAGTAGCAGTCGGTGGCTTAGCGCCATTTTGAGAAACAGTATTAGCACGTGACTGGGGGACTGTTGTTGTCATGCGTGTTGCCGGTCTAGCGCCTGATCTTGTCTCTTGTCTTTCAGAAGCCTTTACCTAGAGTAAGCAAAATATGAAAGATATTTATATACTGGTTTCAGTACTCATACATTTTTAAAGACTAAAGATTATAACTATAGTCAAGTACGTCATGTCAAGGAAGTTTTGTATGGAATGTTATGAGCTCAATACTTTGAAGTAAATAAGCTAGCCTGCAGTTCATAAACTTATTTCTTCTTGTTGTTGTTTATTGGTATGGTTTACTAGTGCAATCTAACGGCATAAGCTAAAGTACATCTAGATCTGTTGCGCTTCCATTGGGTCCTCACTGAGGATATTCATGTGTTACCGTTTACAAAGAGGCCCCTTGAAGCACGCAAGTTTCGATTAGAACAGTAAAAGAGGGAACGCAACTGTTAACCAATGATCAAAAGTTTCTTACCTGAGAAGGCCCAGTGTTCTCTTCTGCAGCTTTCTTCTTATCAATAGTTCGTTGCTGTCTTTGTGCTTCAAGGTGGAATCCCATATGATACATATTCATTTGACAAATACTGACAGTTTGATTACTGATCTTGATTTGGGCCAGATCAGTTCTCCAAGTCAGCCATCAGTTCTCATTCCAGTTATCTATACATTTATTGCCCCATCCAGTGTTTATTCGCGGTACTGATCGATCTTTACTGATTGGTACTAGGTAGTGTTCATTTTGTGTGTGGCAGTCATGCAGTTGCTATGTGATTAACAAATCGTTCAAGCGTTTATTACTTTATTTGTTTTCGCATTATGCAGCGTGTTCATAACTGATGGTGTTACTACTAAGCCAGTTAATGGTCATGAATACCCGCCATAACTGCGCAATTTTACTGGCAAATTATCTGCTCTGAAGCGTGCGCAGCTCTGATTTCAGTATTGCGCAGTTTTTCTCCCAAAAGGAACAAACATTTTCTTGACGAGCCAATGCTTGATTTTTAGCATCGCACGGCTTGAGGCATCCAAGGGACTTGGTTTTTGATGCTTCGTCTCAATACAGTGGATTATCGTTCTTTCAAGTCTCTCTAATTGAAACCAAAAGGCTTAAAACCAGTAGAGCTTTTTGTTTGCTTATCCAATCCAATAGCATTGAAAATCCATCAGTCCATTATCACTTTCCGCATGATATTAGCAAGAGGCTATTAAAATAAGAATTCCCTCAGGAACTGAATGTCATTTACACATTACCACTCTACATGTTCTGGGCTTTGTGGGTCAGTACAACACCACGTACAGGTTACTGAGTACCAGTTGTCAAGGAGGTCAAAAACAGAGTCTGGATCTGGGGTTTGAAGAAAAAGAGCAAAGATGTCGCACATCGCGTATCACGCGGAAGCTCAAAGAAAACAGCGCATCATTGAAAGAAAGCATGCTGCTTTGGCCAAACTAGCCATGGAACAGGTCAGTATACAATAATATTGAGATGCAACATAAAACAAACAACAAACAAAAAGATCAGTTAACGAAATATATGTCGATTTGGCTTGAAATCGTGGTATTTGTGTTTGAGGTAGTACTGATCTACCGAAGATGACATCGGTGTCTACTGAACAGCGAATGCTGATGAAGTCTTTCCAACATGTTCAAAACAATAAGTGGTCAGTAAGCGAGAATACCAGTAACTAATTTATACATTTGAAATAAAATCAAGCAAAAAAATCTTTATTAAGCCACTGTTAATGTTAATGGACGGGTAGTATTTAATATTCTAACCAGCGAGTACACAACAAACACTCCACTTCACTTTGCGAGTGTTTTGATGGACGTTTTGCACACACGACAAGAAAAACCATAAACAAATGTTTAAAACCTTTGTACGTTCTTTTCGTCAGTTATAAATGACCTGTTCAGTGATTTATGTATTGAGCTTTAATCTTAAAATCAATCCTCTTTCTTCTTATTATTTTCTGTTCCACTGACTTTTCTGACAAATGAAATTACATTTATTTCAATAAATTACTAATAAAAAATAAGTTTAAAATAATTTTACTAGGAATTGAAGAAAAGATTAATATCTGTTCAACACTGAGAAATGTCTTTGGGTTTTTCGTTCAATTTTGCCGTGTTTCAAAAAATTAAACATTAGTTACTATGGAAACTGTTCATTAGATTTTTCATGGGTTTCCTGTGTCGAAGTCAGAGGAAACCCTTACCCATGGATCTATACGGTCATCTGCATGGATACCAGAGCATCAAAAAGTTATCGTATAGCTGAGTCTATTATTCTTTAAAAAGAAGGCATTTTATTATCATGGCGTTTGCCTATCACATGGAGGCGTTGAGAAAACAGAGAATAATGGATCGTAAACATGCTGCTTTAGCTAGAATAGCAATTCTACAGGTAAAGACGAGTAGATGTTAGAAGTTTTATACAAACGTCAACTATGTATGGTATATTGGTCTGTTTACACTTTAATGTGCTGTTCTTTATAGACATTTTACAGATTATTTTATAGTTAGGCCTCACCGTATCAAAATTATAGGCCCAATCTGAAGAGATTTTGGTGTTTTTGTCTTCAATATCGAGCTGTATTATTCGTACGTCATTCAGAATGTGAGATGGCATGCCAAAACACACGTTGCACTCAAATGGCTTTAGTGTTAATCATGTTACCAAAACAATGAAACTTGAAATATTTTTAAATCCATAGTTATTATATATAATACACATACTAAGAAACTCGAAAAATAATATAAAGTAAGCATAAAGTAAGAATAAGAAGAATATATTTCTCTTTTCCTTTCGTAGATTAAATTTCCTTATCAATTTGTAAAAGGATGCCAAAGAATGGCACTTGGAAATTACATCACAAGACGCTACGCACGCGCACATTTTCCTGAGCGAGTTATCTAATACTTTGTGCCATTTTCTTGAGTGTTTTACGACAGTCAGTCAAGTTTTTGGGATGATAAGTCAACAGTAGTTCAGTTTTTTTATGAAATTTACTTTGGCATTAATAGATGTTTTTGTCAGGTGTCGTTTTCTATCTAAAATAATATTCTTGCCTACATTTTACCTTAAAAGACAATGTTATTATTCACATTAAGAATATGATATGTTTATTATTGCTGTCTCCTGTGGCTGCTTGGAAATCAAATAATGGGAAAATGAAATCGTTCGTTAATTACTTTTTCTATAATATTTTTTTCTTTGAAGAAAATATCAAAAACATGTATAAAATTTATTTCAAGCTAGGAATTTTTTTTGTCTTTGTCATTTTTATATACTTTCATTTGTTCTGTCAATGCAAATTATTTTTGTTTCAGGCTGAAGCGGAAAGAAAACAAAAAGAAGATGAAGTACGCACAAGGCGCATTAAGCATGAACAGGAAGAAGCAAAGTCCAAAGAAAGAGAAAGATATCTGAACAGTATGGGTCGCACAAGCAAGAGCAAGCAAGGAGTTATTAATGCTAATTATACTAGTATGCTGGAAGACCAAAAGATAAGAATAGCACAGAAAGATTTAAAACACCAAGAAAAAGTTTTACGTGATCACTGCTTAGTAATGGGCCATGCCAATGAGTACTTTCTAGCATAAGGTTGTTATAACCACATCTCACTGTAAAATATCATATCATATATCACTGTGATTGCAAAGGTATCACCCATTTGTTTTCATAGGTTTAGATTTAATTTTTTCAATTTTGTTTTTCATTAATGCTAATAAAAAATAATAAACAATATTGCTTGTATTATAAAATATTGACCTGGTTTTGCTCTGTGGCGTTCTCATTTTCTGTCCAATGTGTTCTTTTGGGTGTGGTCATTATGGCCCTCTCTCCCTATTCTGTGCACTTGTAACAAGACAAGCCATGCTTGATTGGTAAGAAAGTAATGCATGTCCTGCTCAATATGGAAGAGTTGCCCAAACTGTACTGTGTCAGTACTGTGTATATTCATGACTCACAAAGTAAGTCATGTTTTAAAATGAGTTAAAAAAATCCAATATAAAGCTCATGATAGAAATAAAAGATTCACTKTGATGCAGGTGTTTTTGATCTTTCTTCAAAATTAGCATTCTACTATTGTATAGGACCTCGTTTAGTGTTGAGTTTTTGATACCTCAAACGGTAATTTAAAGGGCTTCCTGAACACCTGACTGTTACAATACACTTAGAGGATTAAAATAACGCCAATTACATGTCATTGTTGCCAAGGTGATGGAGTCAAGCAGAAGCTTACCAGTGCTACGATATTAGGGGTCACGTAGTGATTATGGCGGAAAAAACCAGACCAAAATCAAGACAAAATGAAGAAGAAAGAACTAAAGAACAACAGGAAAATGTTCTTGAGCTGAATATTGTATATAAAGGCAAAGATTTTCGCTTAAGTTTTTCTCTTGATGCGGACAAACAAACAATTTGTAAAGAAATCAAAAGACAGACTGGTGTTAAAGGAGCGTTCTACTTACATTACGGTGACAGTTCCAACAACTATTTGCACTCTTCCAGCCTTACTTTAGCAAACATTTCCAAGCTCTCTGGAAGCTCTTTGGAAGTACGAGGAGGCGATTGTGAGTACCAATCTGATGAAACGTTTACTTATTATATAATAGAATAGCTTACATTCCAGCGTAAAATTAATCACTGGTTCGCTGCYATGTTGACACTTTCCCGGAATAATTTGGCGGGAGACTTAAAGTGTAATCAAATTTTCTAAGGATTTAAGCTTTATTTATACGACATAAAGAATCACTCTCGCAACGGCTACTGAACACGAAAAGCAAAGATTATGGATTCATCGAAGTTTTTTCATTGTCAGGTCCCTCAGCGATAAATACTTTTCACGTTCATTCACTTGGGATTCAAAGTCTGAGGGGAGTCACATCCCAGGTCATGATCAATTATTGACAAGGTACTTTAGCATTGATCTGTTACTTCATCTAGAACATCAAAATGAATAGGACACAAGTGATGTTTTTTTCCCAACAACTTTCATAATTGTAACCTGGACCACAGCGGGGAGTGGAGGGCTGGGTTTGAAGGGTATCCTACCAAAGATTTCTACCTTCATTCTGCTCCCTTCCTTACTTTCATTTGACATTTTTCCATTTTCACAGGGATCAACAAAGGAGGGGACTCCATATGGTACTACTTCAGTCAAACACTGAAGCCCAATGTACAAGAGAGACTAACAAGACAGCAGTGGGTGCCATTTGATAACCCTCCTTGACACAACATACATACAACAAGCATTTGGTACTACCAGCAACAATTGCAGATTGCATAYGATAGGACTTCATATGGGGATACGAGATACATTTTGTTGGTAGAGTCAGCCTCAGTGGTTACAGGTATCAGTATTTTCTTTAACTTTGAAAGAGAGCTCAGAATCAAATGGAAAAATGAGAATGTGAACTCATCAAACAAAACTTGTTCAATTTATGGAACAAAAATATTTATTCATTGAAATTATGAATAAAATGGTTCGTATTGAAGTGGAAAAGTAATCTATTATGTGATTAGAATTTCTGGCCATTCACATCAAAGACAGTTATAACACTGATTGACTTCAGAGTGATTTCACTTAATTAACCCTAACTTGTAGATTCTGTGATGAGTTAAATAAAAACCACTCTAAAGAGTTGACTATTGTAGTTTATCATTTTTTTTCAAAGGGACAGGTTAAGTAGAGTCACACCATGAATTCTGAATACGATCAAGAATACGACTACTTTGATCTTAAAATGAAACAGTCTTTTATTTGTTTTGAGTCTAAAAATCACATAGCTGGTGGTCAGTATTCAATAAGGTTAGAATAGTTAATAGATTGGTTCTGGTATTGTTCACACCTATAGTTCCTGAAGATATTTATTTTCTCCAAGTTTATAGCTGCCAGAGTAGACTTGCCCTGAGTTAACCTCTCTTGTATCCCATGAGAGTGTTTCTATTTCAACAAAGTTATACAGAGTAAGGCGGACTTTGGGAAAGTTCAGAGTTGATACACCTAAAGTTTGCAGTTCTGAGCAAGCTCTAAACTTAACTCAAGAACCTCYGACATGCTGGAGTATTTCTCAAGATCACAGACGGAGTGACTTGAATCATCTTGTGTTAATTTTAATGGCTAGATTTTGAACAGGTTTACAAACACAGAAAAGAAAATGCTTAAAAAGTTTACCATCCCAGCGATGGGTGAATATAATATAATGTACAGTAATGATATATTACTAAATTCTTGTTTTGGTAAAGTAATGATATGTCGTTTTATGATATTCCTTTTTTTAGTGATATATGTCTGTAACAACAAGCATCACCATGGCAATCTATGGGAATATAATGAGTATATATGCATTCTCATTTACAACCGTTACACCACCAGAACATTATCAATATCAATGACTTGTTTCCAAGGTAACAGCTAGGTCTCTCATCATTGACTTCTTTAATAGTTTATCCTCCAAATATAAGTGCATACTCAATGCATGATTTAAGCCGAGAAGCATAAACATTCATGCCGTACATTCATGCCGTACATGGTCTGATGACTCCAGGTATAAGCAACACCTTTTATAAGTTATGGGTTGAAAACAAATTGCATTAGAATATGGATATTTTGCATGCACACACTACATGGCAATAACATTTTTCAACATTTCGAGAATCGGAACCCCCTCTTAGAAATGCTTGCTAGCCCACTTGAGGCATGGTATATAGCCACTTATATACAGCACATTTTGCAAACCTTTAAATCAGGCCTTTACTCAGCTCTATTATCCTGGCAGCATATGAGTCAAGGAAAAGAATAATATATAATAGAATGTCGCTTGATGAAGCAAATGACAAAAAGGAAATAAATGATAATGACCACTTATTTATATACTGGTATACTGTACAATATTACTTGCTTCGGAATGTACATTTCTATCAAGTATCTACATAGTGGAAAGTATATATCCACCCCTTGAAATTCTGATGGCCATAGTTAGGCTGTCATCATGTCGAGAATAATTAATGTATCAAGTACCACAGCAACCCTAGAAAATAAACACATTAACAATGTTTTTAGTATAGCTCCTATTAATGTATCTATAATACTACCATGTGTCTATACATGCATCATGGATTACGCATGCCTGTTTCCATAGAGATAAATGACACACGATGATACTGATCATACTCAGTGTTGAGGTGATACCACTGATGATAATGATGATGATAATGACAATCTTGCTGGGCAAAATGTCTTAGGAGAACTAAAGTGCTTATCCTGGATCTTGCATAGCAAGCAACACCCAGCTTATACCAAACATCTTGATTGAATTATTGATAAATCTAATCATTTGAAAGCACATTCTACAAAGTTGAGAGAGAGTTTAAAAAATAATCTTGTATAGTAACCTCTGGTATCACATATATTTTCCAGATATCTATTAGTATAGGTAATAGGACTACATGCCGTCCAATTTGGAAATAATTGCAAGAAAAAAATTCTGAGGACTTACGGAATTGGAAGAGGCTGATAGGCCGAGTATAATTTGGCAGTCAGAGGAATTTTTGGAATTCAATTATTTCCAAATTGGACAGAGATGTGGTCCTTTTGCAGGTTAACTATATCATTCCAAACTATACTAGACTGATTCCATAAGTCATAGTTTTCCCTCAAAAGAATGTGAATGGAAAYGATCCAAATTAATCTTTAATTTGGACAGGGAAGAGAATATGAAAATAATACAATAGTTGCTTATATGGGATTATAGAGTGATGATACAATTAATGATGTAATAATCTATCAATAATCTTCTACCTAACAGTATGATCTAACTGGAATATTTATTATGCATTCCTAATGGCATTATCTTATAAAAAGTTCTTTTATGTTTTCATTATGAGCTGTTCTGTTTACCATGAAGTTCAAATTGCAGCAGATGACTGCTTTATATTATGTTAATACTGCTTTCTGATGCTAATGATAATACCTATTATGTTTGCTGTTAACACTGTCATTACCTACTGGCAACAGTTTCCTTTTGTGCTGTGGTCTTTCCACCAAGTTACCATGTAAACTACTGCTACATCTTCAGATATATTTTTCCACTGTTCATGTAGTTGTTTCACTACAACACTGCTGCTGCTGTTGTCTTCACTGGCAACAGTTTTACTTCCAACCTACTCCACTAAGTTTCCTTTTACATTAGTTCTACATTATCTATGTGCTGTTCTGTAATTGTATATTACTCCTTGTAGCATATGGGTGCAGTGGTGCCGTCATGTGGTGTAATGAGTGTATACCATTGTGCATATACTGGTCTGTAAACCTTATATTAGTCCTTGTAGCATATGGGTGCAGTGATGTCGTCATGTGGTGTAATGAGTGTATACCATTGTGCATATACTGGTATGTAA